GCTCTGCATCAGCACGGGACAAAAGCAGAAAATGTTACACAACCATTAGTTAGCCTTTTATTTTGTCTACAATAGCAAAGATCAAATGATGCGAAATCTTGCCATCTGCCCGATATATATTTGTGTTCCAGCATGAAACGAGGTCAAGTTGCCGAATAACTTCATAATTGAAAGCTGTGTTATGCTGTAAATCAGTAAAAAAACATTTGAAGGGAGAAGTTCAATCCAAAAACCCATTGAACAAAACATTTTGAAATCCAGAAACAACAGTTGAGATTGCAATTGAATTATTTGAACTCAACCGCTTCAGAAGATGGATGCCGTTTCCCCATGTTTTGATAAAGCCATAACCTTCGATTTCCTTCTGCAATATCTGGCGGCACGGTGGCTGAGTGGATAGCACTCTCGCCTCTCAGCAAGAAGGTCCTGGGTTCGAATCCTGGTCGGACCAGGGCCTTTCTGAGTGGAGTTTGCATGTTCTCCCCGTGTCTGCGTAGGTTTCCTCCGGGTACTCCGGTTTCCCCTACCACTAAAAATATGTACAATAGATCTGGCATGCGCCTCCTGTTCGGCGACCCCGCTCCCATCTCTGTGTGGAGTGAGAGGACAATTGCCCAAAAAAATAATAACAATTGTAAACCGCTTTGTGACCCTTGTCTGTGAAAGGCGGTATATAAATAAACATTACTTACTTACTTACTTACTTATCTGTTTCTGGATCATACAGTTATAGCTCTTCTCGACGTGGTGGAGAAACAGCTCCACTCCAAGCTCCTCTTGACGTGGAGGAGAAACGGCTCCACTCCAAGCTCCTCTCAACGTGTAGGAGAAACGGCTCCACTCCGAGCTCCTCTCAACGTGGAGGAGAAACGGCTCCACTCCAAGCTCCTCTCAACGTGTAGGAGAAACGGCTCCACTCCGAGCACCTCTCGACGTGGAGGAGAAACGGCTCCACTCCAAGCTCCTCTTGACGTGGAGGAGAAACGGCTCCACTCCAAGCTCCTCTTGACGTGGAGGAGAAGCGGCTCCACTCCAAGCTCCTCTCAACGTGTAGGAGAAACTGCTCCACTCCAAGCTCCTCTCGACGTGGAGGAGAAACGGCTCCACTCCAAGCTCCTCTTGACGTGGAGGAGAAACGGCTCCACTCCAAGCTCCTCTTGACGTGGAGGAGAAGCGGCTCCACTCCAAGCTCCTCTCGACGCGGAGGAGAAACGGCTCCACTCCAAGCTCCCTGGTCACCGCCACAGTCTGATTCTGTGGTTATTATTATTGCACTCGCTGAGGTCTGTCAATCCCATGCACCATTCTTCCCTCACTTGAAAACCAGAGACTGAAGTACTTGATGATTGGTGCTGTGCCCATATTTATCCTTCAAGGCAAGCCAAGTTTAATTATATAGCACAATACATACACAAGGAAACTCAACAAAAAAAGCTGCGTACGAAAAAATATAAAATCCCTCAGTTGTATGCGCAGCTAAACAGAACTGTTTTAACCTGGATTTAAACATTGTCGGTGATCGTTCCAGATTTTAGCAGCATGAATCTGAAAAGCACCCTCCCCATGTTTAGTTCTGACTCTGAGACCAGCAGGAGTCCAGTCCCTGTGCTCCTCAGAGTTGGTTTATATGGGACTAACATGTCAATAATGTACTTTGGTGCGAGGCCATGGAGAGACTTGTAACAAGCAGAGCTGTTTTAAAGTCTATTCTCTGAGCCACAGGAAGCCAGTGCAGAGACCTGAGGACTGGACTAATGTGGTCGTAATTCCTGGTTCTAGTCAGGACTCAAGAATATAAATATAATATTGTTAGTGGTTCCCAAACAATAGAAACAAAATACTAACCAGGGCTGTATGTATCTACAGCATTTAACCTTCAATATTGTATTTGTTGAATGCAAATATAAAATCTTTGGAGAAAACTTCCTCATAGCAGTCCAAGTCACCACTATCACACACTTATTTCCAATCGTGAAGTAAGTAAGTAAGTAAGTAATGTTTATTTATATACCGCCTTTCACAGACAATGGTCACAAAGCGGTTTACATTTTTTTTTTTTTTTTTGGGCATTTGTCCTCTCACTTCACACAGAGATGGGAGCGGGGTCGCCGAACAGGAGGCGCATGCCAGATCTATTGTGAAGCGACAAACGTGAACTTAAATCAACAATCCAACTCAGCAGCAGCCTCAGATTGCATCACACACAAATGGCATTGCACCAGAGCTTGAGAAAATAACATTATTAGAGATATGTGTAATAGATGGCTTGTCAGAGTAAATTACACTTCTTAAAGCCAGGCCTCCGCATTGTTCATTACGTGTTGTCATTGAGCGATGGCCTCCAGTGCTGCGAACCTCCTCCTTAACCTTCCCATGCCTCTCTCCCTGACATGAACTTCTTTTCTGGTTCTGCCATGTCTCTCACTTCTCCACCTTTTTCTCTGTAATCACCTCATTTTGCTTTAAATAGAAAACAGCAATGGATTCAATTAGCCTTCTGCTGTAAGTGTCTCACATTGGAAGAGCTTACAATGCTATCTGAAGCTAATACACTCCACTATCAGTGAATGTGTTTCCCAAAATACAGTCTTAAAATAAATCAAATGCACAAGTTTAGATGGAGTCCATGGAATCGTCCTACGCTGCATACTTAGGAAACAAATAATGACTAAGTTTCAGGCACAGATGCCAAATCTTCCCACACAGGCTCTTCTTGCACACTAATATTTCTGTCTGAATGAATATTCTTCAGCAAAGTAAAAACAACAGAATAAACAATGCAAAGAAAACAAAGAAAAGGTTATTTCAGGTTTTGTTTTTATGCTTTTTTGTTTTTATGTTTTTTTGTATTTCTGAACATGTAAGTGAAGAAATATTCAAGTCTAGGAACACACTGATACTGGTGAGGTATCAGTGACAATGTGTCTGATTGGATATTGGTTCTACAGCCTCTGAGCCTCTTGGCAAACGTGCACGTGGTTGTCACACCAGAGTCACTGTTTTGCCAGAGTCCGTCCCAAATCAGGATTTGCATAATGCACCTACAGTGTGTCAATAACCAATCACACGCTGTCCCAAACTACAAACAATGATTGCATTCTAATCAAAAAACAACTAGTGTGATTGAAAATTACAGACAGATGACAGTCACATGTTACAGTCATTGATGTAGCCACTGCGACAGTTACCTAAAGTTTGCTTTGATACAATATTATTTAAAAACATTAAACATGGTTACTTTTCTTGCTGTGAAAATAGTTTCTGCACAATGAGTTTGACAATTATGCTAAGAGGCGGATGCAATGCAAATATTCTCTGGCAAGAAATTGTAAAACAGACACTCCAAGTCTCTACTTAGACCAGCTGCCAAAGGACAGACCGAAATGTATCGTTGAAATGGCAAAGACTATGCTCTGGTCTCAGAAGTGAGAAGCCACTCAAACCATGATGTGAAAACCAGGCAACAATTTGACTCATTTTGAAATAGCTAGATAGATGGATACGTTATTTATCCCCCGTAGGATATATCAGGATGTTTATGTTCTTTCAAGCAGGTTATTACCCAAAAGGCCTCGTTGGATTCTTCAGCTCTATTCAAATTCAAAATCGTAACCGTCGGTCACTGAGCAAAAGCACTGCGTAAGAGTAAGGCACGGATCCTGAAAACCGTATTGAATTGCAATACAATTATCTTACTGCAATTTATAAACCTCCCCTTTCTCCCCTGATATCAGGTCTTAAGTGGAAGCCCAGTGTTTTCTATTTTCTCACAACTGGCTGCTTCCTTAAGGGGTCAGGCTGTGGTGCAACCTTTTGTTTTCTCGCTCAATGTGATTGTGTGTGCTGGTACGGACACACAGCTCGTATCCTGCAATAACAATTCCTGTCCATTGGTCTCTTGCGCAATCTTTCAAATTCAATGAGCATTACATTTGAAGCACTATTAGAGGCTATATAGAATATTTGAATCAAATGCATTAAAGTCTGTGTATATAGCTTAAGAGTGGTCCTTTTGAACATGTAACAATTTTTTTTTTTTACAATAACAAAATCCTTGAATTGAATGGTTTGCTCAGTACATTGCACAACATGAACGCAATGGAAACTACATTAACTTGTCCAACTAAAACTAAATTATGATAAGATTTTGTTAGAATATACCTTTGTAACCCTGTAGGCGCCAGCGTCTTTTGGAGAAATGGAATATCAAGTAGACAATACAGAAGAAAGAAATACGTAATTAATAGTCAGAGATAGTGGACTACTTTCATCAATAACACAAATACATAAATGATAATTATAAATGAGAAATATGGGAAGCCAGCTGTATAGAAGATGTCCTGGATTTAGGAGCAATTCTGCTACTTTGGCAACTAGGGTTTAGTTACTAGTGCTGACAGAGACGCAAAAATAATCTCCAAAAGTTTCAGTCTGCAGTCAAAGCACCGATTCAGTCAAACAATACAAAACATCAACTGCAGCGCTGGCTGTGGACAAAGGGGATGTGCGTAATGGACGGATGACAGCATAGTTCAGAGTATTTAGAAGCTATAGCCACTTCCTCTCGAACGATTGGCCGTTAAATGGGAATGGTCCAATGTTTTGATCATGTTCTGTCCTCTCCTTTCTCCTCCCTGCCTCTGCTTTGCTGCCTTTTCTTTTTTAGCTCTGCTGCAGCATCCTCCTCCTTCAGTCTGTGAATCAAACCCTTCCAAACGCATCTCTTCTCTCAGTATAAGCCCTCCCTCAAAAAAAAAAGGATGAAAAACGAAAACTGCACATATAATGTCTGCAGATGCCAAGTCTAAGCTGGTACATGCTTAGTCCTCCTATAGGGAATGGTGGCTGCAGCATGTGCCAAAATGCATTCAACAACAAGTCTGCAATGGGCGGTAGAAGCTGCTATAAATACCCCCTCCTCCCCTCCTCCCCTCTCACCCCCTCTCCTTGTGAGTGAGAAGCGGCTATAGGACCCTACTGCAGGCTCCCTTTCGGTTGCTTTACGGTGCACTCCCCCCCTCCTCTTCCTCCCCCCATCCTCCCTCCTCTTCCTCGAGCTAAGGGAGGGACACCAGTTATGTCATCGCTTGTATACACCCGGACCATTCGCGCGTTGCCTCCGCTGCTGCTGCTGCTGATGCAACGCAAGGCTGCTGCTGCTGCTACTGCTGCTGCTGCTGCTGCTGCTGCTGCTGCTGCTGCTGCTGCTGCTGCTGCTGCTGCTGCTGCTGCTCGTTTCCATTGACTGTTTTCTGCCACATGCGAGTTGTACCACATTCATGCAAATGGCACCGCGCGATTGGGGAGACCGTGAGAACACTCTGGCGGTGTGGATGAGCTGATTTCAGTGCGTAAACAGTGACTAATAAACACAAGTCGCAGACTAATTTGCACACAAGACCTCTCTACATCAGTATTGCTTCAAAGGGGAACAGTGAACTTTTGACCCAGCACACAAAACAACTCCTTAGAACCACTTTCCTTGCGCGTCTGCATCATTTCAACACGCGCTGGTCCTTGCATTGAATTATCCCATCGTGTGAAAGAATACACTGTAGTTTTAAGCGCGTCCCATCCACCACACGGGATACTCACCTTACATATCTGAAAGTTTTCCGACACGAGGGTCTCCTGCACGTCGATATCCTTGGGAGTGGGCGCAGCTGTGGGGGTCCCCGCTGCGCTGCCACACGATGGAGACCCCATGGTCCCGCCACTACCACCACCACCACCACCGCTCACCGGGGAGGACGTAGTCAGACCGTCCAGTACCTTCCGAAACTTCTTCATGGTCAGGCAGCTTTACGCACGGGCCGGTTGTGTAGAAAGAACTGGAAATGGAATCAACGCGATGGATGTTCGATTGTGATGAGCAGAAACGCACAGCAGGGGAGTGGGTGAATCGTTGACTTTAGGTGCGATGCAAAAAGTCAACAGATCTCTTCATCTTCTCATTCTTGGCAGCAATCCACAGATATATTTTTTTATTTATTTTTTGCAGCGTTTTTCTTTCTTTTAGGGTGACAGCCAATGTTGCAGAGGCGGGCACCTCATATCAGCAAGCACAGGCGCAGGGTAGTAAAACTCAACTTCATCTTGAACGCTCAAGTAACGACCCCCAGCCGAGTAACATAGCACGCAAAAGGCAGCGATGTTAAGACAGCAGAGGAGGAAGAAGTTCCACCACACGGCTCAATCCATACTATCTTGCCAAAATAAATAATAAAAAGCACTTTCACTCACGGCGAGAACAGGCAGAGAGGAGACGAGGCGGGGGTGGGGGGGGGGGAGACGCAGAGGCAATGCAGTTAAAAGAAAGGTGCCAAGTCCACGGATGGAGAGCGCCAAAGTGGAAGGACGTTTGCGGGTGGGATGACGGGATAGTTGGCTGGAGCAAACTAGACACGCGTGATAAGTGTGTTCTTGGGTGGTGGGAGCGCCTCTGTCCCCGTTCGGTCCAGCCCTGGCCACGGAGATGCGAGACGGGAGGGAGGGAGCTGTCCGTGGTGCTGAAAAGGCAGCAGCAGTCAATACACCACGCCCCCGCTGCTGCCATTGGCTCCCGTCGCGAAATCAAAACGCATGAGAAGAATGGAGGAAGGAAATATCAGGGGGAGAGTTAAATAAAAGCGCGCTGTGAGGGCTGGTCCGCCAAAGTACCAGGAAACATTAAACAAGCTTCAAAAATTGGGACCGCAGGATCCACTGGTTTCCTCTCTCCCAGAACAGTTACTGTGTGATGAGCGCAGGGACTGGCCTCCAGCTGATGCCCAGAGTCTAAAGATATATAGGAGGCAGCTAATCAGATGAATACAGATAGTATCTGGAGCCGTCTTCCTCAAAATATGAGACACTCTACTCTGAAAATGGTCAATTTCAGGGTAAACTGTGATTGTATCTTCACTCTGTTTTAGAGAACTGTGATTATGTGCTATGTGCATTGGGTGGCATCTTTGGCCACCCATCCCCTCCCCACTGGAGGAATGCTAACTTTTTGAAAAATCCTAATTTAGCATTTTACTTGCTAGACTAGACTAGAGCAGAGAAAATGGATTCAAACCAAGCGGCTACTCCACCTTTTGACCTGTCCTGCTCCACCAAGAGGCTACTCCACCTCTATCTATCATCATCTATCTATCTATCTATCCATCTAAATAAACTTGCCTTGCCTATTACTGCTAATGGCAAATAAACTGAATCTGAATCACAACACCCAAAGTGTTGAATAGTGACTCATAGTGGTTCGCTCATAGTTTGATTGTATTTATTTATTTTTGCTTATTTTCTCTTTGTAATGTTACTAAGGTCTTCTGACACCTGCTGTCCATTGATATAAATAGCGTACATACATTAGGAAGTTATTTCGATGGTAATGTCTGCCTTGTTTGTGTTTCCAGAGTTGGTTCTGAAGCCCCAAGCTGTAAGGCGCATAGGACGAGAGGGCTATTTCACAAACTGTCCTGAAAAGCCACTATTCTAAAGGCTAATGGGGATCTTAAACTGCCCGCCGTTTTTCTGCTGCTTCACCTTCTCTGCCTGGACCTGGAGACTGCAGTAAAACCAAAACTGTAAAATCCTCATTTAAAATCCATGGTCAAAAGGCTTAATATAGTGTCTCAAAACTGAACATAAAAACAGACAGTTCTTCTTGATGCTTCCATACAAATATTATTCACCGGCATAAGAAATGTGTCTTGATAATGCTTGCGAAAGGCATTATACCATCTTCATCAGGGGTCTCCAACCACCTATAGCTCACCAGCCCCTTTCATATAGCTCGCCAAAGGATTTTAAAATGTACCACATGATCAAGAATGAATACAATTTAAGCCATTACATATCTATTATAAGTATGAATATAGGGTTACACAGTATTCTGGTATATTTTACACGTGTTTTTATTATTATTAGATTGCCTTTTATTACGACTGCAAAAAAGTAGCTCTCTGATTGAAAAAGGCTGCAGCCCCGTGATCTACATACTCTTATCCATACGTTTGATTTCAGTTACTCAAGTCTCCCCCTGCTGGTAGTTAGTGAAAACAATAATAAATAAATATATCTTCTTGTTTTGATTTGGTTTGTGCATTTGACAACAACAAAATGAGATAACTGATGACGGAACTGTGCATGCAGACGTTAATCTGCAAATGAGAGGGAGGGAAATTATTATTCTGCATCATTTCCCAAATCGGATAATTAGAGACATCATGAAAAAATACATGAACTGCAGTTGTCAATGATTCATCTTCTGCGATGTCTTCTTGATGAGAGGGTTGAGGTTTGTAGCTCCAGACATTGCTTCCATGATGTCCCTTTGCTTCCTGCAGTTTCCACATCATTTGAGACATTTTTCCTCATTTTGAAGCTTATATTATCCAGTAAATTTCTTCACCAAGCTGTGAATTCTCTTCTTTCTTCAGCACTTTCCTCCATCATGGGTGCACATGCTGACGAAAAGACATTGCCAACCATCTTTTTTTTGGGTTCAGGACACATGGCTATAATGAGAAGAGTCACATTAGAACAGTCTAATGTTATGATTGTAATGCTAAGGACCAGAGACATTGCATAAGCGCTTACATCACCGGCCGAGCCCTGTGGCCACACTTGATGCTGTGGAAGTGAGCGTGAACCACATGGGGCCGCGTCCTGCTGATCTGCGATACAATGGTAACAGAAGCAGCTTGTGTTGGGCCTGTGTCTCAGTGTTGACAGATGATGCTTCCAACCCCAACGTACATTAACATAAACGTGCATTCCTTCATGAGAGGAGAGTCTGCGTTTCAGATTCACACAGATATAATCTGGAACAGTCTTCCTGAAAATGTGACATAAACTTCTTATCTGACAAGGTTCAAATCCAGGTTAAAAAGATATATTTTTAGCTGTGCTACAACTGAGGGATTTTATTTTCACTCTTATAGTGATTTTTTTATGATGTAATGCCTTGTGTAACTGTCATCTTGTTTTGTTCAGCACTTTTTTGTTGCCTTGGGTATCAATTGTCAATCGTTCATCGTCCATCCATACATCCTTTTTCTTCCGCTTTATCCATTGCCAGGTCACATGGCAGCAGCAGTCTAAGCAGAGATGCCCAGACTTCCCTATCCACACACACTTCCTCCAGCTCATCTGAGGGGACTTCCTCCCCCTGGGGTCTCCTCTAGGGGTCTCATCTCAGGGTCTCCTCCCGGCGTCTTCCCCAGGGTCTCCACCCGGTGAATCCCAGGAATCCGGAACAAATGCTCAACTGGTTCCTCTCTACTCCAATCTCCTCCTCCTATCTCTGAGGGAGCGCCCAGCCACTCTACAGAGGAAGCTCTTTTCAACCACTTGTATCCATGATCTCGTTCTTTCGGTCATTACCCAAAGCTCATGAGCAGGGGGGAAGGAGGGAACAAAGATTGACCGGTAAATTGGGAGCTTTGCCTTTCGGCTCAGCTCCGTCTTCACCATAACAGGCCGATACAACGCCCCACCTGCAGAGAACCAGGACCTGGAGGGGGCAAAGCACCTTTTTCTGGAGAAGCACCATGGCCTCGGATTTGCTAATTCTCATCCTATATATGAATTGTGCGATACAAATAAACTGGCTTCGCCTCGCCTTAGACTATCTGATGCTTGGGATTTCCCTGATAAGGCTTTGCTTTTCTCAATGTAATTTGATAGGGTCTGCCTCCTGCTTTAGACCTGGTATGGATTGCTTAGGTTGGGATGTACCTTTTTACATGGTGTTTAACCAGGACAAATGAGTAATAATATAGGTGTTTTGTTATTACTTACATGACCCTGAAACTTAGTGTATTCCCTTTCTTACAGTGCCTAAAGTATTCATACAGCACGTACATTTTGTCTTGTTACAACCACAAATACAAAGATTTTGATTGACAGTAAAAGGTTTATTTAGCTATTGTTCAACAGGTGTTCCAAGTGCAGGTGTAGAAAGTCAGAAAAGCAGATTGGACACATTAAAAGCATGGTTCGATTATTCAAATATTGATTAATTGATTGATTGATTGATACTATGCCACAGGGGAAATGCAGGTGACCATCAGTAGCTGGTCCAGGCATAACAGACATTACAATATTCTAAGCAAAGCATCAACCTAATCAATATGAACCAAGTCCTTCGAAAGCTGCTGAGGATGATCTGTTCCATCCTTGCTTCGTTAGCCTCCTTTTACCATAATAATGATTTGTTTAGATTGATTCTGTGCTGTGTATTATGTAACAGTGACACCATATGGAACATTCCCTCTGGGGCACCGACTGGAAACAACATACGCTCCCGACACTGCACACAAATAAAGGTAAAAGCACTGTAAGTAAGTAAGTCGAGGATATTTATAAAGCGCCTTTCACGGACCACGATCACAGAGCGCTTCACAATTAAAAAACAAACAATAAAAATAGTACACAAACAATGCTTTACCTTTTTTAATAATATGCTAATGTTGAAAGTGCCAGAATATTTAAAGCCCCCAGACTTAATAAGCTCTGACTTCCAAAATTGAGTTTTCTATGGGGGCATAATGGCTCCATACTCAAAATCACTTTTTAAAACCAGAAGCCACCAGTGCAGGAATATTATATCAAAACATTATTATTACATTTGAGCGCTGATTTACTACCCTGCCTTAGTGGTACGGTGGCTGTAAAGGGTCGAACTGTCAGTGTGTCCTTAGGCAAGACACTTTAGCCACATGGCCTAGAATGAGTCTGGTGTGTTCTGAAGAGTTAGTGGTGGTCGGAGGGGCCCATGGCACATACTAATTGCCTTGCGTCTGTCAGTGTGCCCCAGGACAGCTGTGGCTACAGTAGTTAATCAGCCTCAGAACATTTCTCTGATAATATCCACACAGGCGAATATCCATTTCCTCTGCCACCACTTTAAAGTCCATTTGAGAAAGTCCTGAGAACATAAAGCGTGAGCAAATTTAGTAAATGTCTCTATTGTGAGATCAATCAAGTTTATCTCATCTTAGCATCACGCAGCTACCTGCTGTTTAAACTAATCCCCTTCCCACGAAGAGTTTATTTTTCCTTGAGTATTCTGCTCTATCACAGACTGTAAATAATAACAAGCCTGTTCAGGGGAAAAAATATAAATGTCAATATTGTGTTTATTTTTGACAGTTTCTGCAAACATTGGGCTGGATATCCTCAGCTTTAGAGACAGGATGAGGAACTCAGCCACATGGAAGGAGCATGGAGTAAAGCCGCTGCTCAGGGAACAGCGGAGGTGGCTGAGAATCTGATGTGGATACGTCCTGGATGTCTCCCTGAGGCATGACACAAAGAGGAAGTCCCAGGGAAGACCCAGCACATGTGCTGTCTCTCAGCTGGTCTGGAAGGTCTCTGGATTAACTCTGATGAGCTGAATGTAGTGGGTGTGGAGAGGAAAGTCAGGGTTGTGGAGACAGTCCTGGATAAAACAGAAGAAAATGGTTTGATAATAGATGAAACAAGTAACTATAGGCTGTAAACAATAATAGTAAGGCTTTGCTCTTGTTTTGTGTCTGTCAAGATGTTCAAAGCCTGTCAAAGTGCTACACTGTCAAAGCGCTACACTGTCAAAGCGCTACACTGAAGGTATTCATCCCACACCTGGTGGGGACAG